CCTCTGTACCCCCAAGCTCCGACCTCTTCTGTGATTAATGAGCTGACGATTCTGCATCGATAAGGAATTAACCTAGAGCCCCTACCCATCAATAGTCAGGAGCTCAGGTCCCCAGCCCCCTCTCCCCGACTCCAACCAGAACATTCCAGGGCTCCTGTAGAGACCAACACTTGCATTTCCCACCTACAGCTAAGTCCTGTCCCCCATCCTGCTGCCGGGAACTAGCCCCTGAACTGCTCCAGTCCCCCCACATACACGCAGGCTGCAGCTGTTTATATTGGTTTAATCCATGTCAAATGTAGTTTACAAAGGGAAAGAACAAGTCCCTTTGTATAGAATATACAGACACAGCATCACACCATGGGCTCCCGGGGAGGTGGAGGAGCAACACTTGTCCCTGGGAACAGCAGCTCTACTCCCAGGCACGGCTCTCAGCAGAGGGCTGGGCAGCCAGGGGCACCCTCAGCCAGCCCTAACCTCAGCCTCTGCTTCAGCTCAGTTCCCGTTTTCTGCCCCACCCCAACTCCTTATAAAGAGCCCCATGAGCTAAGACTAAGGAGAGGATCATGTCCCTCGGGGCATGTGCCCCATGTCTGGGAGAAGAAATATACACCACTGAACACCGAGCACATGGAGAGGGAAGGGACATCACCGAAGAGGGGAGGCAGGCACCCAAGAGGTGGATGGGCCGAGCCCCCAGCCAGCCCTGAAGGAGGCACTGCTTCCACGGGTTCTTAAAAAAAGAAGAAAATCATACAACCAAAGGGGCAGGGTGGGGTGGAGGGTGAGGAGTTGTCCCGTTTATACACAACATTGTAAACATACACGGTCTATATTACATGTGCTTCAGTCTGGTGTCTGCGAGTCTGTCCATCTGTCCGTCTCGGCGCTGGATCTCAGGAGCTTTGCCCCACTACTCCCCCACCGCCACCTCCCTGCCCCACCCTGGGAACAGAGGCTGGAACAGGTATGGTCCCCAGACTTGGCAAGAGCCAGCAGGCAGGGCCTGAGCCTCAGCCCCACTCTGGCTCCAGAGTCCTGTGTGTACGTGTTTGAGTATGTGCATGTATGTACATGGGGAGCCTGTGTGCAAGTATGTACAAAGGGAGAGGGTCACTGTCACAGAGGCTAGGGCAGGTGGGGCTGCCCGAGGCCAGGCCTGCAAGGGGGCTGGCTCACAAGTAGATCCTCCGCAGGTCTCCGGGCGCTGTGATCGTGTTGCACTGAGGGCACAGCTTCTTGGCTCCCTGAGGCGGAACAGGAAGGCTTTGGTCAGACACAACGGGCCACGTTGCTTGCACATGTGAGCACCTGGGCCTGCAGCCCCGTCTCTCTGCACCAGTGTGTGCTGGGGCCTGGGTCCTATCGGGCAGGCTGGGGACGCATGGGCAGCCTCTGAGCAGGCAGGCGCGCTCCTGTGTTGGGGGGACGCCAGGATCAAACCGCCTGGCCGGCCCCGCAGCGGGAGCCCCGGTAATGAGAACAAGGCTGGGTCCAGCTGTGGCTGCCGCGGCCCTAACGAGATTACACGCGGCCTTTGATCAGGACACAGAGCCCACGTCCGGGCCTTTTATTGCTGTCTCCGGGCGACATTTTAATGGCTGCTCCCGAGCGAAGAACAGGGGCAGAGGCAGAAGGAGCTTAGTAATGGGAGGGGGAGGGGCCGGGCTCGGGCCCTGCTTACCAACACACCAGCCTCCTCCTGACCTGGGGTCTCACCAGTATGTGTGAGCCAGTGGGCCTTCTGTGGGTGGGGGCAGGGCAAAGGAGACGCAGTGACCAGCACGGAGGGGAGAATTCAATGAACCTGCAGTGAGGAGGCGGGTACCCTGGCTTCTGCCTCTGTTCTCTGCTCCTGTGCTCCCACACCCCTAAAGCACGAGCATGGACACGAGAGCAGTGTCCCCAACAGCCAGCCACCCATTCCTGACCGCAAGGCCACCTCACCAGGGTCCGCAGCCAGCACTCCTCGCAGTGCACGTGCCAACACTGGATGGACGTTAGGGGCATCGAATATGAGTCCTAGAGAGGAGGCAGGCAGGGAAGGGGTCACTCTGAGGCAGGCCCAGAACACAGTGGGGAGACCCTCCATCCCCAGGGGCACCGAAGCTGGGCCACAGGCACCCCAGGATTCCTTCTACTCACCATGCAGATGAGGCATTTGTAACGGTCCCCACGAGATAGCTGCCGTTCAAGCTCTCTGACCCGAGCCTTCAGGGCCTCAAATGTGGTCACGGCGGAGTCTTCGGTGATTCTGTAAGGGAGACAGCAACGCTGGGAAGCAGGCTGGCAAGCTCCAGTCCCACAACTCCTCTGAATTCCAGAACTGTGCGTGTGAATGTCTCTGAGACATCCCTACTTCAACCCGCGCATCTGCAAACGCCACCTTCCAGAGCGGACTCCAGTCGGCTCCTCCGCCTCCATCTGGAGGAGGTTCTACGCCAGACACCTGGGAACCATCCTCAAACACTTTTCAGTGCCACCATCTTCAGAATCTCTGGAATCTTCGTTTTACCCTGATCACACCCCTAATCTAGCCTACGGATTATTCCATGAACCTTTTAAAGACTCCTCCCTGCTACCCGCCCCAGGCTATCACTGTAGCTGCGCCACTTCTGATCTAGCTCCCTGCTAATGGCTTCAGAAAGGCAGCGGAGGATGGCCCAGGTGCTTGGGCCCTGCCACCCACGTGGGAGACTCGGAGGAAGCTCCTGGCTTCAGCCTGGTTAGCCCCACCTGTGGCAGCCATCTGGGGAGTAAACCAACAGATGGAAGATCCCCTCCCCCCTTTCTGTAATTCTGCCTTTCCAATATATAAACCAATTTTTAAAAAACAAAAAAGACACCCCACCCCGCCAGCCCCTCCGCTCCACTGCACTCTCCCGTTAGAAGACTTGTACTCTAGAAGCAAATGACGATTTCTGCTTCTGTCACTTCACTCCCTCCCTCAGAGCGAAGTTCTACTAAGCTCCTCGGGCCAGCTCCAGCGCCCCTCAGCACAGCATGCTGAATTCCCACACACAGCACCCTTTCCCATACCCTTGGCTGCTGGCGCCCCACTTCCCCCTCTCCTAACTCACCAGCTCTGCCTCAATTCCTGCTTCATCCAGGCGGGCCCATGGGGCTCTCACAGCTCCCCTGCTGGGCCCAGTACCCAGAGGGCAGACTGCGAACTCATCTAGCACCTGCTATGGACACTGGCCCCACTTGATGCATGGGAGCCTGGGTAAGCACTTGCTGAATACAGAGCCTGTCCAGCCCTCAGAGAAGGGGCAGAGATGTAGGGACTGGATGGGTCCCACATAATCTTGGTCCTTTTGTCACAAGCCCGACTTCCTTCAATTGCTCCCTGTAATTTCTTCTGAGGTCAAATGCCCTGTGGCCCTCAGCCTGTTGTCCCAGCCCTGCACAGAAGATCTTGCAATTTTTCCAAGCCGCTTTGACTCTTCTGCTGATTGGGGCACAGCCAGGACTATCTCAAGGAGCCCTCCTTCCCCTCCTAAAACAAGTGAACAGGACCCAAGTGTTCCAAGAGGGTGAAAGCTACTTCCTGGAAGAGTAGAAAAGATGGGACTGGAGATGGGCCTTAGGGAATAATGATGATGATAATACAAATAAAAGAGCTAAAAAATTTATTAAGCACTTACTAAATGCCAGGGATTGTACTGAGGGATTAATAATTATCTTATTTATACCTCACAAAACCCTCATGAGAAGATGCTAACATTTGCACGTTATGTATGAAGAAACTACAGCACAGAAAAGTAGCTTGCCCAAGGTTCACGGCGGGGGGAAGGAGATGGGATTGCAGCTGTGGCAGACCGAGTCCATGATCAACCATAACCACCTGACCCTGCCTCTACACTGGCTACACTGGGAGGAGACGGGGCTCCAGGCCAAGGAACAGCAGAACCAAAGGCTTAGAGGGTCAAGAGACCAGTCCTACAGGCTCACCTGCAGGTAAGCAGAAGGTGCTAAAGCGAGGAGGGAGATTGTGTCCCGGAGGACCTCAAATGCCACAATCAGGAAGCAGTTTATCTCACAGACAACAGGAAGTTGTTGAGGATGTGCAAAGAGGGGTGTGACAGGAGGCTGAGGGTTAACATGTTTTAGTCAAGACGCGACAGAAGGATGGGGTGGAAGCCACAGGGAAACCCCTAAGTGAGATCTGGTGCAAACAAGGACAGTCTCCTGTGGAGTCCTGTTCTGCCACCTTCGGGGGGACAAATGGCTCTAAAGCCTGAGAGCTCACAGGTGGTCGCTCAGTGCTGAACACAAGTGCTAACGGTGGGCGTGGGGAAGGAAATGCTAATATTTCATGTTAACCATAAACTTCAATCTTTGCCCTTTCTCTTTTAGGGTGCTGGCAGCCACCAGACCCTGACTCCCCAGTGGCCATGTTCCTGGATCAGGGATGCTCCAGATCCACTGCCCCACGAGTCCAGGCTCTGGGATGCTGAGGCTATGAGACCCCAGTTCCCTCTGGTACTCAAGGGTCCCTGAGAGCTTCCATTCGGTCCCCACCATCTCCCTCTTCTCAGGCTCCTGCACAGCTGGCTTCATCCCTGGCATCCTGCCCAAAGGCACCTGAGCTGTCCCCCAGTGCATCGCTGGTAAACTCCTAAACAAGGATGGCAAGCTGTGCTCCCTTCCTCTCCAAAGATCAAGCTAGGAATCCGCTGGGTCACATGTGGGGATTTCAAAGATGGCCACTCTCAACACCAAGGCCTGCAGCTGGTGGCAGCCTGCCCCAGAGTGGAGAACTAATTCCCAAGCTCCAAACCAGACAATGAACTAGAGCTAGAGAGGCAAGAACAAACCATCTTCCATCCCACCTCCCAGGGCCAACATCTAATTCCAGAGCCCACCTATCTTGGGTTTGCCCAGTACAGTCCTGGCCTCCAGCCTTCCCTCTGATGAAATACCCAATCCTCCAGTCCCTGACCCTGGTTGGTTCTGAGCTATTCCTAATCCCTCCAGGGCATGAAGTAGACACGGCATCCTGCCTTTCCCCTTCCCTGGGCTATCAAACAGCTGTAGGGCAGGGACCCACACGCTGTAGAGGAGAAAGAAAGTGGCATGAGGACTGCAGGGCTGGGCCCAGCCTCAGCAGATCCATGCCCTTTGGGGTCTCTGCCTATGACTGAGCCAGTCCCCAAGTTGGCCCAGTGAGTCCTGCCTGGTGCCTGGGCTCACACAGGTGGCAAAGAAATCCCAACTTCCCCCAGCCTTGGGTGGGTAGTACGTTCATGGATGGCCACTGGCTCTGGCCCCACCTCCCCCTTGGGCGCCATCCCTGATTAATGATCTTGTCTTTCTGATTTATGAGCAGCCCCTCCAGACGAGGGTGGGCGCCCCTTACGGCCCCGCCCGCCCTGCTCAGCTGGAGTAGGAGAGAATTATTAAATAAACATCCATACGTCATTCCTCCACCCCCCCGCAGCTGGTTGCGCCGAACCCGTACGGCCCGCTCCGGCGCTGACACAGAGCAGCTGCGGTGATTCATGGGCAGCCGGGCCCTGCGCCGCGGCCCATACATCATGCCAGCAGCACTCGCAGCCCCGGCCGAGATAAACTGATCAACCACAACGGGCTGGAATGAATTTATGACAACACAAAATGGAGGGAAACAAATGGGAGGTGACCCTGGGCCACCGACCCGGCCCTGCACCGGCCCGCTATCCACTCTCCTGGCAGGAGGCAAGATGGAACACTGGCCCTAGAATGAAGAGGCTGCCTTTTAACCCCAGGTAACCTGGCCTCCAGTCAGAGGGAGGGCGGTGGGTGCAGGGAGTTAAGCAATGGCTAACGCAACCAGCTCTGGGTAGCCTGGACTGGACAATGCCACCTCCTGGGCCCAGAACTGGCCTTGCCTGGGCTTCTGGAAAGGCCCATAGATGCCCAGCTGATATCAAAGCCTTGTGGCACCTGGGGATCCAGGTGAGGGGCTGCCCAGGTCTGGGAGAAGTGTTACCGGATCTCCCTTTTCCCTGCTGGAAAACCCAGGTCCCAAATTCCTATCAGAAACGATGAGACCCGATGCTCCTGCCTAAAACCCACTGCGAGCGCCACCCGGGACAAGAAAAATGAAACCAATTTAGCTCCCGATTAAGAAACAGAAACTGGAGATGAATCAAGTGCGCTGGCTGGGCTGGGCAGCCATACATCACATTCCCCGGGCGGAGGCCGCCGCAGCGGGCAGGCAGGCAGGCAGGCAGGCAGGCGGACTGCTCCTCCCTCCGCCAAGGCTCCCGGGGCCATGGCCCAGTGATCAATTCACAGAGTCACGTTTAGCACCAGCTGGGCTCCACTGGCGGCTGTGTGCCCAGGGCAGCAGGACCCAGCCACACTTGGGAGGGCCAGAAGTCCTGGCAGCAGGTCTTGCTGCTGGCAGAAGGCCTCTCTGCCTCCCCAAAACTGCTCGCCCTGGGAACCCCTGCCCTGGACAACACACTCACTTCTCGATGTCGCTGTTCTTGCAGGTCTTCTGCATGGCCTCCTGCTTGCTGCTTTCACCGTTGCTGGTGGACGGCATCTCTGTGGGGACAGAGGGGCAGCTGACATTCTGGCCAGACTGGGTAGCAGAGGTCAGGGCTTAGAATGCCTTTCCCCTCATCACTCCTAACCTGGGTCAGGACTTACCATCACTGGCCCATTTAGAGAACTCAGGCGTGATGCGGGTGCTGGGAGGGCCACCACTATGGGAGAGGAAGAAAGAACAAAGTAAGGCCTGAAGGCAGGCAGGACAGCCCTGACCCGCTGCTGGGGTGCCGGGGTCTCTGGGATTCCTAGCCCCCCATCCCACCCGCCCAAGCCTATGCCCACACTTGCTTTAGGACTGCGCCCCGGAGTGCCTCTCTCTCCTTGGCTTCACCAGGTTCCTCGCCTGTGCAGGGGATGACATCAGCCTCCGTGTATCTGGCATGGTGGTCAAGGATACAGGATCCTAGTATACAGGAGGCCAAGAGGGTGCAGTTTTCAGGAGGGCTCCCCCTGGCCAAAGCTGGGACTCTGGCCCTGCAGGTGGTACGGCAAGTGCAGAGTCCACGCTTTTCTTATTCCCTTTGGCCTGTCCCAGCAGCCCCACCGTGCCCCACAGTGCCCCACAGTGCCCCAAGGATACTGTGGCTTCCCATACTCCAGAGTGTCATCCCCATCCACATCCAAGTCAGCGTCACTGTCCGGGTTCTCTTTGCCGCTGCACATGACGAAGCCGGAGCCTGTGGGAAGCAGGGTGTGAGGAGGACCAGGGGCAACAGAACTAGGCCACGGGTGCCCCTTGTGTTACCTCTAGTTAGGGGTCAGGTCTGGGGCCAGGGATACGCAGAGTCAGATACTTGGGTGCTCCTGACTCAGAAATTCCAGTCTCTTCCCTTTGCCTACCTCAGCCTTCTCAGGGCACTGCATGCTGCTCCAAGTGGCCTCTGCTCACAGACTAGCCCATTCACACACTATGCCAGGTCCTCAGGAGACACCCAGTCCCAGGCCTGCTAGCCACCTCTCTTCCAGGTCTAGGAAGAGCAGGAAGAGGACAGAGAAATTCAGATCTCAAAGGTCTCCTCCAGCCTGGACCTGGGCCCTCTTTATGTCCCATCACCCAACCTGACAAGCCCATCTGAGGGGAACATAGGCTGCTAAGGACAATCACAGCCATAGGGTAGGACACTCAGCCAACATCCTCATTTTGGCCGCCAGGTCCTTGCCAGCAAAAACACCAGGCAGCTGTTCAAATATTTGGTGTCTGAAGCGCCTGACATTAATTATTCATCCCCACCTCACTCAGCCCAGATTCCTGGACAAGTGTAGTTATAAAGGGATTAGGAAGAGACAGACGAGGTAGGATAGGCATGCACACCTGCTTCTCAAAGCAGTCCACAAGGGCTGGACTGAGGCTAAGCCAAGGGCCAGGTAGGCAGCTGACTCCTCTCAGGCACATTTGGCAAAGCCACAGGCAGACTCTTGGCTAATGGGAAGGTGTGAGTCACAGAGCCTCCACCAGGCCTGCGCACCTGCTAGGTGGTCTCTCGAAATTCCCCTTCTGATAGCCTAGGGTCAGGGCTACAGGAGCCGGCCCCCCATTCCTATTTCCTCCCAGTGGGTCTCAGATCACACCTCACTGGTCAGCACAGCAGCTCTTGTCAGGGACCAAAAAAAAAAAAAGATAAAAGATGGGCTCTGTGGTGAGTGGAATCCTGAGGCGGCAGCTTGGGGCCCTGCCTGAGCTCAGAAACTCTTGTGCATTCTTTCCACCCTGAAGTCCTTATACTCTCATTAGGGTGACAGTCTTGTAATAGACTTCCTCATCCTGCTTACCAAACAGCTGTGACTCGTCTATGCTCTAAAATTGACTATGGCTCCCCACCACCAGCACAGCCAAGCCCAGGCTCCTCAGCAGGATGTGGGAGACCGGCATCATCCCTCAGTGCTAGACATGGACATGGGGACTGCTCACTTCATCCCAAACATACCTTCTCTCTTTTCGGTCCTTATATTCTGCATAGACCATTCATTCTCTCTGGAATGTTCTCTACCTTTCATGTCCTGAAAAGTACTTTCCTGAAACACTGTCTTTCTGATCCTCCTTCCCCCACTGCTCCAGTTTCTGGTCCCACAGATTTCACCTCGGGGCTGGTGTTGTGGCGTAGTGGGAAAAGCTACTACCTGTGATGATGCCTATATCCCAAATGGGTACCGATTCAAGTCCTGGCTGCTCCACTTCCCAATCCAGCTCCCTGCTAATGTGCCTAGGAAGGCAGCAGAGGATGACCCAAGTGCCTGGGCCCCTGCCCCACCATGGAATGCCTGCAGGAAGTTCCTGGCTCCTGGCATAGGTTTGGTTCAGCTCCGGCCATTGTGGCCATTTAGGTAGTAAACCAGCAGATGAAGCATCTCTCTCTGTAACTCTGTCTTTCAAATAAATAAATCAATCTAAAAAACAAAAAACACAAAGATTTTACCCCTCCCAGAAAGCAGCAGCACCCAGGGAAGAAAGAGGCTGGGCACTGCCTGGACTCCACCCTTCCTGCCAGTCCTTATTTACCCTCTACTCAAAGGCAGCGACACACTTGAGGCAGCAGGCAGGTCAGCAGCAGGGCCATTAAGCTGAGAAAACACCAAGTTACAGCTCTGTCTCCTGTTCACGGCCAGGTGTCCTGACAAGCAATTCCTGCCTTGTGGGTGAGTGGCACCTCTATAAACCCTCTGACAGTTTGGGAGACAAACTCCGCCATCAATCAGAATGTAGCTATCAGGTTCACTTACAGCTTGCGCCCCCCGAAGCCCTGCCAGCCCCCCTCTCCTAACTACATGCAGCTCAGCAGCCAGCCTCACATCTTCTCTTGGCCTGGCCCTGCCCTGCCCTGCCTTGTAGGCAGGGAAAAAAAGGGAGTAAAAAACCTTGGCACCACTCCGAGCTCAGTATGTCTCTCATGGCAAAGAGAGAAAGCAGGACAGCCAAAGCTGCCAGCTAAGTCCCAGTTTCTCAACACATGAAGCAGCCCTGTGCCGGAGTCCTCTCCTCTGCAGTCTTACTGCCTGCCATACCCGGCCCAGGCTGGTAACTCCAGCGGAAAACAGGTACCGTGGCTTCTCAAATCCTACCCGCTTTCCCTTATCCTCATGCCTTCTGACCGCCTTCTCTCTCCTGCCTAAAACCTGTTCCCTTGTTAGTCTGCACACACGTAGCAGTTGCTCTATAAATCCTCACTGAGGGAATGGAATGTTTCCTTCCACATCCTCCTCCCAACTTTTATTCAGGACATCCTGTGCGTGGCTTGGTGTTGACACTGACAGCATACTTTCAAGAACTGGTCCCCCGCCTCCAGGTGCTCGGAGTGGTGGATGAGACTGCCCCAGGTACTCACACAGAGCTGTCCCTCTCTCTTGGTGTCTACCGGAACTCTTGTGCAACTCCAAGAGCACATTTATTGCCAAGTGTGGTCACTGTCCCTCCCCAGATGGAAAGCTGCAAGGGTCCCAAGTCTGACTCATGGCTGTGATCTCGGCGTCATGCAGCAGAGCCAGCCAGGCCCCATACCACAAACCCCAGCAGTCCTGGCCCAGAAAGAAGCCAGGCATGGTGAGCTGGTGGCCTGGAGGACACTCTTGGGTCACGACCTTCTCTATCAGATTCCAGCTCCCAGCTCTGACCAGTCAGGCAAGAGGGACAGCACAACCCCTCTTGTCTGCCAAGGAAAAGGCCTGTCTGCCTCTGATCTGATTGGTTTACTCTCACCTTGACCCAATCCTGCAGTTAAGACAGATGCTGGGAACCTCGCCCTACCCCCACAGGTGTTCAGAATAGGCTGCTGCTGCCAATTTCTCTCCTGTACTGCCCCAGCCCACTCCAACCTCCTTCCCAGCACATTAAACTTTATTTTCTTAATGAAATGTCACTTGCTGACTTCTGGCAGAATCATAATAAAAAGAAACGGCCATAAAGCCGTTTTATGCAGACAGCGCCCCCGCCAGCTTGTCCCCCTCCCGCTTGGAGGAGGCGACTCCACAGTCATTTTATGTTCTCAGCTGCTGGAATATCCCAAGCCAGTACTCAGAGGCAAGATGGCACAGACAGTTCCTTTCCAAGTCTCTGGCTCCTCTTCCATGTAGCTCCAGGGATACCAGGCAAGCTGCCACTCCTGCTGCTGCTATCCAGGGAAGGTCGTCTGGGTGGATCCAGAGAACCTGTCACCAGGGAGGCCTCTTGCTATGACTCTGCCCCACCTTATGGTGGAGTCAGGTCTGGGTCCCCAGCCACAGGCAAACAGCCTGATGGTCAATGAGGCCCAGTGTGTAGGTACCAGAAGTGCCCAGTCCCAGGACAGTAGGAAGTGTGAAAAAAAAAAATCTCTTCCTTCCCTGTGAACACTTGGCGATAATAGAGAGGGTTAAGTGCAGAAATGATACGCAAGTTTAAATTTTATGAAAATGACCCTTCTCCTATAAACTCATTTCTTCCTGGGTCATTGAGAAGGGAGGAACCAAAAAAAAAAAAAAAAAAAAAAAAAATCAGTGTTAATTTAATCAATTGATCAGGTGATCGATTGAGAAACTGGAGATGGCTGTTTACTGGGGCAGTAACGTCCTGGAACCTGAAACCACAAAAAAAGAGCTATCGATTTCCTCACCTGCTGCTCCCAACAAAACCAGAACCCAGGGGAGAGCAAAGTCTTGGGGCCCTCCGGAGGCCTGTGCTCTCCAATGGGGAGGGCAGGGGCAGCAGCTTCCGGCGAGTTTTACACTGGAATTAGTTACAGATGCAGTTACGGTGTCTTGTGTAAACGCCATCGATTGGGGAGCTGACAGTCTGGGGAGCTGCGATGCGGGACAATCAATCGGCCTGCAGTGTCACCTGCCACCTCGCTGAACAGTTGACAATGCAATTATCCAGTGTGGAGGCAGGGAGTTGGCGTGTGTCAAACGCACTTAGCCACTTTCCGGGCCTCCTCGATAACGCGTTTCACTGCCTCACGTCAGGAGAGACGCAGAGAGACAGACGCCGTTTAAAACCATTGATACTTGCTCCTTCTGCCTGCACTCCCTCTGTCCCAGCTTAACAATTGTGTTCCAAAAGGCGATTAAATCCCACCAGTCGCCACAGGGGACAGAAGGTGCCCTGCTCCTTGCCACCTCTCCTCACCCCTCCCAACCGGCAACAGTCATAACTAAAGGTGGCGGGGAGTAGACAGCAGCCCTAACCCTCTCCATTCCAAGACTGCTTCCAGCAGCGAGCTGTTCCAATGCCTGCCTCTGACTGGGCCAGGCAGCAGGGCTGTGCTCAGGGCCACTTTTAGCATCTGGGCTCACATCTTTAGAGCAGCAACATGCCTAAGGGGCAGCAGCTAGGGCAAGGCCTATGTGCCTGTGCCCTTGGACTCAGACCTTTCACTCCATACTCCACTGTCTGGTGCTGAGCTTTTACCAAGTAAAGAGCTGGCTAAAATATCTGTGCTGAAGTTGCCTTGCCTGCTTTCTCCATGATTTCTCACGCTGTGCTACTTTGAACTAGACTAAATCTAAGACAGGAACTTGAGAAAGACACTCCCTAGGTGGGGATATGGGCAGGACAGAAACCCTCTCCAGCTGACTGTCTTAGCTGTCCTCACCCGTTTCTAACTCCACCTGTTTGATTCAAAGGGTTCTGATGCTGGATTCTGGCAATGCATTTACCTCCAGGACTCAAAAGATACACTGAAGACCCCTTCCATTTCCTTTGCAGCCTCCTTGGAAATCCTTCCATCCCCCTACTCCCGTGTCCACTGCATCACTGGCACCCCATTGAAAACCAATCATTCTTATGTCCTCTCTGCAGTCTGTCCCTTCCTGATATGAGGTCTGGGCCCCAAAACCCAGATGGGTGAATTCATACTGGCAACCAATAGAGGGGCAAAACCATGGCTCACCATCACAGGTCCCTTCTCCAGGATCTCTGAGCTCAACCTGGGAAATGAGAGGAGGCAGGGCTCCTTCATCACACACCTCCTCTGACTACAGGCAGGGGCAGGGCTGTCCCAGCACTGGGTAACCAGCTCTTCCTTGTGGCCTGCTTCTGCAGCCTGCAACCTCCTGCTCCACCCCTGCACGGCAAGGTCCTCCAGGGGAGAGCATCAGCTCTTTCAGGGGGATGTTGGTGAGGCTCTAGGCTGTGTGAGCTGCCCTTTATGCCAACAGCAGTGGCAGTTAGAAAACCCAAGGTCTGGAAGGACAATCGACAGCTGAGGTCCACAGCCTGAGGATTTCTCCCAGACCTGGGAAGGCCTCACTGCCTCCTAAGTACCAACATTTCTTCCTACATTCTCTCTTGAAATCCTTACCTATTTCCATTTGCCTTTTACAAATCTACTACCAGCTGGACCCATCTTGGGTGCTCACTCTTCTGTTTGGTCCTGCATGTTGGCCTAAATTACCAGTTGCCAGTACTGCTAGGCCTGAGGTGTCTGGGCCGTCCCCTCAGTAACCACAAGCCCCTCTCCCCAAGGCCCGCTCCTCTTAGCCAAGCGTCTCCACCAAAGCGCTTGCTTGTCCACTGCCTCCCACAGCAGATTACATCCGAGGGACCGATCTGATCCATCAGAGCAGCTCCCAGGGGGTCTGGTGGGAAGCTTTGCTGCGGATGGTGAAGGGGCTCTAGCCTGGGGTGATCGGATACAGGAACTTATCTGCAATTCTTCAATTCTTTCATATCTAACAAGGACAGCAATCTCTGTTCTGTCAGCACGCGCAGTGCAGCTTAAATGGGCCCCGCCGCTTGCCTGCTCGTCCTGTCTCTGCCTCCCTCTCTCTGAAGTCGGCTGGGCAGCTTCTTCAGCTGGCGTTATCACTCCCTCTAACCGGTCTTGGCAGGCAATCTAATTCCTCCTGAAAAGGTCACCGCCATTTTAACTGCCTTTCAATCACATTAAGCACGCGCTGCCCGGCTTGCGGCCCGGCCCGCCCGGCGGGCGATCAATGCGCTGCACTGACACCAGCCCGCCTGGCGGGGCCACACCCAACCCCCCAAGAGTTGGGGCCTAGTGGTCCTGACCAGGGAGGGTAGGCTGACAGATGGCCAGCTACAGCAGACAGGGTTCCAGGGGCAGAGGCAGGCAGGATCAGCCAGGGCCTCCCTTTGATAGCCGCCCCCACTGAGGAGCCCTCTCCGCTCCTCTGCGCCCCGCTCTCTGCTTCGTGGCCCCCGCTGATCTTGCTGTAAAACAGCCTTTCAAGTCTGCCAGTCTTTTGACTGCACTAAGCTGTTTAAGAGGCGGCAGCGGCTTCTATCAGGAAAGCTGGAGCAATTCTCTGCAGATAAAGGCACCTCCGGCCCGCATTCCCTCTTCAAGTCTCACTCTCATTCTCGCTCTCCAAATCGCTCAAAGAAAAGCCCCCTTTGAACTCTCCTCAGGAATTCTTGAAAGGAACAACCTCACAGTGTAAACACTCAGGGAAAACTGATACCCGCCTAGGGCCTGAGAGTCCCTCATCCGACTCCACAAGTGCATCCCAGCGCAGGGGAAACACTTTGTCAAATCAGCAGGCCCTAGCAGCCTTCTCCCCCCAAGCCCTGCCTGGTGCCCAGAAGCCATCAGGCCCAGTTCTGTGCCAAGAAACCTGACAACGAAGTTGCCACAGCGATGGAAGATGTGAACAGCTGCCAGCAGAGCTAGCCCAGCGCAGCATCCTGTAACTGACCCCGCGGGGTGGCCAGGAGACACCTGTGTGTACAAATCACAGCCCCATGAGCTCTGCCACTCTTCCAGAGCCTCAGACACTCCACTGCTCCAAGACAGGGCCCGAGAGAAATGTCACGTAACAGGGTCCAGCTCAGACTCAGGAAACAGTGTGGTCTAACCTTCCTGACTGATGACTTGGCTTGTCCCCAGATGCATGGCTAATGTGAGAGAAGCTCAGAGGCATGACGTCCCATGTGGGCTCTCAGTCCCCCCATGGGGCCACTCTGCACTAGGTGATCCTGCATGGCCAGGTAGTGACCCCAAGGAGATGAGGCGCTCTTTCCAGTTGCTACGAGATTCCCCAGGAACCATACACAGCAGTACTCCCAGGGGTGTTGCCCAGAGAACAGGAGGCAGACGGGAAGCAGACTGGCTCAGTTAATGACCAAAAGCTGCAGTGCCAGCTGTGCTCACGCACAGGAGGAGAGAGTTGGAGGCCAGGAAGCAGACAGCTTCCTTTTCCCCTGCCCGAGGCAGGGGAATTTGACAAGCAGGTAGACTCTGGGTTCCCAACCAATTCCGTCTGACCTGGTGGTGGGGTGGAAGGCAAGCCATAGCCCTACAAGGAGTGGCGAGGGCACTGGAGATGGGCAGGTCTCTGCAGACTCTTCTGCAGCAATCGGGGAGAGCCCCAGGGAAGCAGAGTAGCTGGGCCCAGGTCTCTCCCGCTCAGGGCAGAGGGCACCCAGGGAGAGGGGATGGGATCAGAGCTAAAATTAGATTTGCCGATGAAGCTCATGGGAGGTCAAATTTTGCCATAACTCACTCTCTCCTCTGTAACTGATTTCCCTGACACGGGGCTGAGGAGGAGGAGGAAGAAAATCCAATGTGTTTGCCTGGAAGCCCTCAGGGCCCCCAGTGCTGGAGGTGTACAGCAGGTTGCTGGATTCTCATTTATCAGCCTTAAGAGGGATGGAGTGATAAATGCATAACCGTCCCTTTAATATTTTATGCAGGTGCTAACGCGGCTTGGCTGTCACCTTCAATGCATCACCCGAGGCTGAGAGCCCCCCTCGTCACTCCTAGCTTGCAGCCTCACAATTCCATTTCCCCACCCAAATACATCCATTTTAATATGCACATCACAGGCAGACAGCCTGGTCACAAAGGAGCCTGGCCAGCAGCAGGTTCCACGTGGTGGAACGGATGACCAGCCACCAGAGTGCCACTGCCTCAGAGCGTCAGCTGCTGTACCTCGGAAGCCACCTTCCAGAAGAGTGGTGGCTCGTATCCGCTTCTGCCCACACCACTCATACTCCTCAAAGCGGTTGCTGCTCTCGTGCTCGATGTCCACAGCGTCCTCCTCAGCCATGCAGGAGCCTTCCCTCTGTGAAGAGCAGAGCAGGGTCAGGCAGGGCCCAGGCTCCCCCGTCCTGCGCCCCCGACTCTGGGGCTCCTTTAAGGTTAAAGCCAACCTACAGGTCACAGACCTGAGCCTCTTCCCCCAAATTTTCCGCTGGAGCCCCAGGGGAGAGTGAGTGAGAGTGAAAGCAAAAGAAGAGAGCCAAGAACCGAGAAGCTGCTGAGACCACATGGAGACCCCAAGAGCCCACAGACTTAGGGGCAGTAAGTGGCTAGAGCCAGGGGGAGGGAGAGAAGGAGGGTGGGTGGTGATGGCCCCTCTACCTTTGAAAGGCAATGCTCCACATGCCTACTCATCTCCTGCTCCGATCCTGCCAGGGGGCGGCTGCACAGGGGACATACCTGCCCTTCATCTTGCTTCCTCCGTTTCATTTTCCCAATCCGAGCTGCATGAAGAAACCGAAAACAAAGCACAGAACAAGCAGTCACTGCAGCTCCCAGGGTCCCAGTGGAGCCGACACACCCTGACCTGCCGCCAGCCATCAGCTCTTTTGCTTAGTGTCTGATCTGGCCCTCTCTGCAGCACCTCCTGCTCCTTTGGGGGCTGGACCTTGCAAGAACACCTGGGGAGGAGACTGGTGCCAGGCCAGGAAGTGTCCATTCTTGGTAGCAGCTGGCCATGTTTAACCTATACTTCCCTATCTGCAGTGCTCAATAAAGTCCATGGGCAGATACTATGGATCTCCCTAAAAGGCTAAGACCATGGGTTCTTTGGGTATTAGGATATATAACTAGGAATTATCTCTTGGCCAGAATCCAGGGTTCCTCTAGGAGCCCGATATGGGATCTACTAATTTCTCATCAGCTACAAGTTCCAAGACCAAGAGCCTGAAGTACAACCCCTAACAGCTCCTAGAAGACCTAGAATCAACCCAAGAACTGTTTGGATGTCAACTGGTCCCATTTTACAGGATAGGAGGCTGAGGCCCAGTTATAAAGGTATAGATGGTCTCGATCAGACAGTGGGCAGCTTGGTCAAAAGAGGCAGGGTGCCTTGAGAGAGCAGCCCTTATTGTGCCTACCCAAAACTCTTCCATCATTTCTCATCAGCACAGAGGGGCTGGGAAGCCCCAGAGGCAGGGGGCTGCCTGCCATGCTGTCCCGCAGGGGGCTCAGCTCCAAAGTGCACACTGCAAGCCCACAGCACTGCTAATTAATGCTGAGAGATGCAATCATTTCTAATTAGCTCACTAATCCCTCTCTGCAGCCCTCCTGTCACTGCAGCAAGAAGGGGTCAAAACAAGGGACTCTGTTCCCTCTAGCCCCTCCCAGGATGTAACAGAAGGATCAGAGACAGCTACTGCTGAGTCCAGACTGATGGAGGGGAGAGATACAGGAAGAGATTCCTCATGGACAAGGACACTGGCTCTGACGGCAAGTTCATAAATGCAGTATGGGACACGAAACTTGGGTGAGAGTTGGTATGTTACAATTTAGTTTCTACTATGTGCTCAGAGCCAAGTACCTTACACAAGGTAGCTCATTTGCTTCTATATCCTGAAGCTGGGTTGTATTATGCCATATTAACAAAGAAACCTGAAATTCACAGGGATCAAGGCAGTTGTCTAAATAGCAAACAAGTAGCAAAGCTAAGAGCAAAGCCAGCCTTACTCCACAGCTTAGAATGCTCTCTTGTTCCAAGAGTCCTCTGCCTGAGCAGCATCAGCAAAGACTGACCCCAGGGGCCAACGTTGTGGTATAATGGGTGAAGCCACCGCTTGTGATGCCAGCATTCCATATGGGTACTGGATTGAGTTGTGGACGCTCCACTTCTGATCCTGCTCCCTGCTAATGCGCTTGGGAAAGCAGTGGATGATGGGCCTAAGTGCTTGGGCCCCTGCACCCATCAGGAGATCCAGATAAAGCTCCAGGTGCCTGGCCTTGGTCTGGCCCAGCCGTGGCTGCTGTGGCACTTCGGAAGTGAACCAGTGGATGCAAGATCAGGCTCTCTTTTGCTCTGCCTCTCCCTCTCTGTAATTCCGCCTTTCCAATAAATAAATCTTAAAAACAAAAAACAAAAAAACCTGACCCCTGTGAGCATGCCAGGGGCCCACCTCCCACCTGCTGAGGATATGAGGCCAGTAGCTACTCCAGCTCCAAAACAGAGTAGCCCTAGAAGACCTAACCTGTAAGGAAAAAGCCATCATTCCTCCAGAACCGAGCATGGATTTTCTGAAAACTCGGTCTGTAGCCTGGCCCATCTTCAGTTATCTACACTACAGGGACTTGACCCTGTTCCGGTGCCCCACCTGACTTTGTGGATAAAAATCCACATCTCTTTGCTTTGCCCAATCCTTGGAATCTCAGGCTCAAGTAGCCTTGACACTCTAGTTGGGCTGGGCTGGAAAAGGGATGTGAGACATCAGAAAGGTATTAGGTGAGTTCTAGGAGACCAGAATGGGGCAGTGTGCCAACGCCAAGGTTCCTCACTTACCCTGACTAGAGTCCTGCAGGAGTGCTTCCCTGTGTAAAGTGACAGATACTGTTCAACGACCAAATATATAAATGAATCTCACAGAACTGCCAAGGAGGGCCTATCACTGGGTGCCCTCCTTGCCCGGAACACTAGGCCAGCAGATGATTCGTTCTGTCTCCAGAAAAGCACGCTGATGGACTGGGTCTCACGTGGAAATTCTCAGGGAAGCCAGACAGGTTTGGTTTCTCCCTTGCAGTTTATCCTGAGGCCTGAGCTAAGCTTGCTGAAGTGTGATTGAGAAACTTCTGTTGTCTACCCAGAGACCGCCTCTGAGTAGGGGGGTTCAAACAGTTGCCAAGGAGGCAGCGCAGCATGGATGGAGAGGCGCACAGGCTTTGCAGGTAAACAATCTTCAGTTCAATCAGGGCTCAGTCACATCCCAGCTGTGTGATCTTAAACAAATCACTTTCACCTTTCAGAGCCTGTTTTCTTATTTACACAATGTGTATAATACTAACCTCTCAGGTGTTGTGAGAATGGTGCTTAACATGGTGCCAGTCTATAATGAATGTTCTCCCTTTTCCAGACTGGGGCTCAGCCTAGTAGCAGAAACCAAGTGATAATAGCTGGGGGTCTTGAATGTCCACGGCCCCGCTCACTTACCAGCTGGCCCAAAGACCCCATGCCCCTTACAGCCAGCCCCCACATATACCACACCCCAGTCAGCACAAAAAGCTCGGATCATTCAATTGTGTGCAGCAAACAGGAATGCTCGGGAGGTTTGAATCCAAAAGGGGGCCGCCAGGTAGTGCATATACCGCCTGCTTTCAGAGAAGGCCTCTAAGAGCTGTCGGGCCCACGCTGATCACCTTTGTGAAATGTGGGCCGGCTGATAACTCAAAGAGCCCTGGGATGAGTTAGTTCCTGTTGCCGTGGGAACTCCAGATCTCAATGCATTGTCAAGTCTCAGCAGAGAGGCTGTATTCACACTACTGGGCACTGATTAAAAACTGGAGGAAAAACATTCTCAGCGCCCCGCCGGCTTGTATAGTGAGGTCCCAGCAGTTTGCAAATTCAAAGCTGCGCTCCCGAGTGAAACTGTGTAGTTTGTTCCTCATTCGCTGTCACTTATTGCCCCCCAGGGTTCTTCGGGGCCTTTGGAGAGGCTTGGACAAGAGCTGGGAACCATAACCTCCATTAGGCAGACGGGGAAACTGAGGACGGCAGCCTTGGTTTGCACATGCTCAGGCGCGGGGACTGAGAAGCCACTGGGCCCCGATGCCGAAGAAACCCAGAGAAGCCAGGAGCTGGCAGGCAGTGAGGGAGGGAGGAGGCCGGGGGTGGGGCGGAGGGAGGGGCCGGCAGGACTCACCATTCAGTCGGGTCTGCCGGTTGGCTCGCACTCGCAGGAAGGTCTGGGAGAAGATCCCGGGCAGATGCAAAAGAGAACAGAGCGTCAGGCCCCTGCCCCAGCACCGTACCCCGGCCCAGGCCTGCCCCGCCCCAAACGGCCCGTAAACAAACCTACTTCCTCCCTCCCGCCGGCCCCCCTGCTCCGCCGGCCGCTCCGGGCCCTCGGCATAGCCGCCGAGGGCTGCTCTTAACGGGACCCCGTGGCCACGGCGCGGTGCCGCTCCAGCTCCGGCCCCCGGCGCTCCGGGCCCCGCAGCCGCCCGGCCGGCGAGGGCGGCGATGCGGGCGGATTCCCCCCGGCTGCCCGGCGGCGGCGGCACCTCAGCTCCCAGCAGCGGCGGCGGCCATGTTGGCCCTGGTCACGTGAGCGGCCGCCGTAGCGCGCTGGGGGTGAAAGTTCGCGGTGTGGGGCGGGGGCCGGCCGGACCGGGACCAGGAAACTGTCGGTCGTGCTCCAGTAGCTACCGGCTGGGACCACTTCGGGGCTCCTCCCCCCGCCCCAAGGCCTACCGGCCCCAGTCTTACGGCAGCGGGGGCACCTACACCCCGCCCCATGACCCCTCCCACTCCGGGGCTACTTCCGCCCCATGGCCCTGCCCCGCTCTGGCCTCCCGCCTTGCGCGGTGTCGCAGGAGCGGGCTCTTTTCCTGGGGTGGGGGTGGGGGGACGTCGGGATCCTGGGTCGTCCGTGAGAATCCCCACTGCATGCTCCCAACAGTCGCCCCCTCCCCCAGCTTCTAGCCCATCACGGGCCTGTCGGAATCCCCTGGAGCGCCCCACAGGTGCTCCCAAGGCTAACTGATCTCAAGATCCCCCGAACAGGTGCTTTCCTCCTGGGTTCCCAGTGCACAGCGGGATGCTGCCATCTGCTCAGGTGTGCCCATGCAGTTAACTTGGCAGTAACTCTTGACCTCACGTTCAATCCTCAACACTATGGGAGTCCGCCTTCAAAGATCTCTCACATTTTCTCATTCCCACCTCTATCTCCTACTCATCTTTCCAGGTTTAACAAAACAAAACAAAACAAAAACCCAGCCTCCCCTAAGAGTACTTCGGTCCCTGTACCCTCATGGCTTGTATACATTTTTAACAGTGGAATGACCGACCACTCCAGGGTTGGGGCCCCTAGGAGCCATTGGGGGAACCCAGGGTACTAGACATGGGCAAGACCTGCCTGAGCGTTCCTACAGTAGCTATACCTTCATTGTCACTGCTCTTGTTTATAATCTCGGCCACTCTCTGGATGGGTAGCTGTCTTCTATCATCCGGTCTCCAGTGTCCCTGCATCCATCCTCTCGCTATTGTGCAGAATTAACCCTGTTGCACCCTTTAAATCTTCCTGTGGCCTCCACCTAGGTCTGCAGCACACATATGGGCCTGGCTTGGCCTGCTCTGCTGGTTCTGGAGACTTACCCCTCCTACTCTCTGCCTTTGCCCTGTCTGCAGCTATGAGTGCCCCGGGGTCTGGGCTCTGGGCTCTGGGCAGGCACCTTCCGTGCCCCTCCATGTGTCCTGCTAATGGTTAACTGTTGTTCCTTCTTCAGCACTCCAGCAGGCCTAGTTTTCCCCCCAAGCCTGGGTTTGTTGTTTCAAGTTTTGACTGTTCCTTTGCTTCCCTCTGATCGTGAATATTTTGATTGTTTTATTTACTTGTCCCTTCTCCCTGGGAGGTTATGTCTTTCCACCCAGCACAGAGTCTGGCATGAGGTTATCAGTGGGAAGGGGAGATTGATGTGAGGAAGCAGTCTAGGATTCAGGGCCAGTTAGACGCGAGTTCAAGTTCTGAATCTATCTCATAATTGCTGTGTCCTTAGAAAAGTCACTTCCCCTCCGTAGACCTATTTCCTTAGTAGTAAACTGGAACAGTGACTCCCAGCTTGTACAGTTGCTATGAGGGTAAAGTGAGTGATGGTTAAAAGGGTTAGGTACGCATCAGGAGCTAAGTAAATGGGAATCGAAACCAGAAACCCTTCCCTACTTTCAAGGCTGAATTCAATGACTTTTAAAATTCAGCCTAAGTGAGCAACTGTTACATGCCAGGCATTGTGTAAAGAGCAGGGGATGGGAGACCCAGCTCATTCCTGGGATATCTTCCAGCTTCATCTCCAACCAACTCACTCTGCATTCTGCTTTCTACCAGAGCTGAACTGCCTATACATCCCCAGATACATCGTTCTGTGTTCTATCTCTGTGTCCTTTGTCCATGGTGTTCCTGTGATCTAGAATAGCCTTGCTTCCTTGTTCACCAGATGAGCTCCTACTCCTCCTCTGAAACCCTGTTCAATCATCGCCTCCTCTGTGACGCTAGCTCTGATTTCCGCCTCCTTTCATTGTGTTATCCTAGAAACTTATTTATACCCCTGACATAGCACTTAAAATACTGGGCCATAATTACTACTTGCAAATCTAACCCGGTGCAGGCAAGGACACTGAGCAGAGTGTGAGTGAGTACTAGATAAATGTTAGTGTAAAGGAAGGATGAGACAAGGTCCTTGCCTTGGAGGAACTCCAAGTCTCGTGGAGGAGTGAGACTCACTGCAGGAGATTAAATATGACCACAGTTCTTTGCAGCTTCTAGCCAGAACTGCATTTCCTCATCCCTTGTTACAGCCTAGCTTTGTGACTTGCTTTGCCTAATAGAAAGCGGTGGAAGTGATGTGTGAATTCCAGATCCTAAGCCTCAAGAGGCCTTGCAGCCTTGGCCTTCACTGTCGTGGTGTAACACCGCCCTGAGAATGAGTGACAAAGCCCATCTAACCTTGTAGAGCAGTGGATGGTAATGTCCGGCCCACGGGCCATATAAGGTCCACAAAATCATTTGGTTTGGCCCTGCCAAGGCAACCTCAGGTGGAACTTGAAAGTCAATAAATCGGGGCCGGCGCTGTGGCACAGTGAGTTAACGCCCTGGCCTGAAATGCCAGCATCCCATATGGGCACTGGTTCTAGTCCCGGCTGCTTCTCTTCCGATCCAGCTCTCTGCTATGGCCTGGGAAAGCAGTAAAGATGGCCCATGTCCTTGGGCCCCTCTACCCACGTGGGAGACCTGGAAGAGACTCCTGGCTCCTGGCTTCAGATCAGCACAGTTCTGGCTGTTGCGACTAATTGGGGAGTGAACCAACGGATGGAAGACCACCCCCCACCCCCCGACTCTCCTTCTCTCTGTGTAACTCTGATTTTCAAATAAATAAATAAATC